CGGGGCAACAGGGGGAAAGCGTGCTAAAGGGAGAAAGAACACTTAAAAGAGACAGGAAGGAGGAGGAGGGCACCACAGAACAGCATGACAGAGGAGGCAGAGATCGACTGAGGTCGTCACGGCAGCACTGTTACATCACCTCTGTCCTTTTGCTCTTCCGTCCCTCGCTTTCTCTCTTTCTTTCTTTCTTTCTTTCGTTCTTTTTTTCGTCCTTTCTTTCGTTCTTTCTGTGTTGGTAAACAATACCTTCCCACTTTGCCATTTAACAAAAGTCCCAACCCTACCAGCAGCGGTGTTGGTGAAGACAAATGTGACGCCAAACTTGAGCAAATTAACACCATTTGTAGTAAAGCAGATGTTCTTTTGCCAGCAGCCAGTTAAAGGCAGCGTGGCGTGGGTGGATCAGGAGGGAGCGGGCTGGCGGCTCGAATAACAGGTTTTTGCATCTTTTAAGCGATGTAATCTGAACAATGTTTCGACAGCTTCACCCTCTGATGGCTGCTTGCTTACAATTAGACTTCTTAAAGCAATTACTGCGTGCTGAACCCAGGAGTCTCACACTAAATGGGGTAAACTAAGCCTGAGGCGAGGAGAATTTCCATTCAATGCATAGTGTTGAGTTTAAAGTTCTGAAACTCAGAAAGCAACCCAAAACTATGGGCTGTATTGAATCACAATGCAAAGCTAGTACTAAATCGATAAGCCCAAGCCTTAAGGCTTGCTGTTAAACAATACACACCAGCCTACTTCAGCAGTTAAACCAAAGCACTGATAGCTTAGAAACACACACTTGACTTGATGGGTGTCCCTGCAGTCCAGACAGCCGTGCAGATGCTCAAGAAAGCCCACTGTACTGCAGACCTACAGAATCCTCCTGTAGGTCTGCAGTACAGTGGGCTTTTTGAGCCGAAGGTCAGTGCACGCTGTATCGCTGCGTTTCCAGTTCCACGCGGCACATCAATAAAAAGCCTCTTTACACACTTTCAGCTGAATCTCCAGGCAATGCGGAAGCACATGCTCGCACTCACACATATGCTCACACAGTGTGATGGAGCTGCTAATCCACATGATGTTTAACCCTGATAATGGGATACAGCTCGAGCATGCCTGGAGATGAATGGCGGATGTGTGCTTCAGAATGATGTATCACTTTCTATGCTGACTTCAGGATTTATTTAAGAACAGAAAAAAAAAGTGACAGTGTGTTTACCTCTAAAGAAACTATATGCTGTGTGTTAACAGACTGTGAAGTCTGGATATGGGATGTGATCTGATCTCGTTTTGCTCAGGACTAGAAAACATCTTGATTCTGGATTTTTGTAGACAGAATTCTTCTTTCTCACAAAATCCCTGTGATCCTTTCAATTAAGTGCTGCAGAGAGGAAAAAACTATTATATATATAATTTCAACTCTTAAGGGTTATATATACCGCATTCAGTGCTACTAGAGCACCAGTGTCAAAGACCAAAGCAGGCCAACCACATTCCCTTGGCAAAACCAGTAATTTTACCTTGAAGATAATTGTGAAACACACTTTAAACTGCAGAAAAATGAAACTGTCTTTCCAACAATCACCAACACTGGTTTGGTCAAAACAGACTGCAATGGTGGCAAGATGCTTTTTGTTTAACCAGAAACAGCTGTTAGATTACTATCACTCACCACCAGCCTCCATAGACAAAAATGGTAATTTTACCTCACATATTATATCATAACATTAGTAACACTGCTTTGGTCAAACTAAATCCTTAACTCACCAACATAGATGAAAAAAACAGCTGTTTGAGATGCTCTTCTCAGTTGCACTAACGTGCATGTGCGACCAGACCACAGAAGTAAACAATGCACAGACTGCTACAGGCCCAGAGGGAGTGCGACTTCATTCTCTGCTTAGGACACCATGACTCCACCATCTCTTTACATAGCTGCTATATTAATGTTCAAAATCTTATATATATATAATCTTTAAATCAGTGGATCCCAACCTTTCTCATAAGGGAGCCCTTTTCTTACATTGAGTAAACTGACTAACTAAACTAAAACTAAACCTCTGACTGACATTCTATGGATATTTCACATTATATTCAATGTATAACAATAACAGTACAGAACTGATGAACTGTACAATAAACACAAACAGTGAACACAATAACGACAGGAAGTTTGAGTAAAATGAGGAATTTGGATGAATTTTGAATCAGTTTTCCTGATATTTTTAGGGACACTTTTTATACAATCTCTGCCTGTGTAATGTTTTTCAAACAATCATACAGACTTAATAGTCTACATTTTTGAGTAATTTGGTGTTCCTTGACATTGTTCTATTAGCTCGTTGATTGTTTTAACTGCATACTTTTCTAATGCAGGTGAGAGGCTCTGTAAATACAGATTTTGTTCAGGTCTTCAAAGTTTAGACCTTAAATACTAATCTAAACAACTACTTAGTTTTCTTCACATAAATAAACTAAATACTGAGATACAGGCCTGAATATATATTCAGTCGGCCTGTATCTCAGTATTTATATATATATATATATATAGGTTGGGAACCACTGCTTTAAAGTATCATTCTATTCAAAATCCATCAGCCTGTGGGAGAACTGAAAACACTCTTCCTCCTTCATATTATTACTTTCCAACTCAGCAGTGACACTGCTCACTTTCATGCAGCAGGTGACAAATATCGTGGGACCTTGTCATCTCTGAATAAAACCCCAACACACAATAATGTTACACACACCTATGTCTGAATTACTGCAACAAATAGTTGAAGGCAGCATATGCATTCCTAGAAAAAGACTATATGATCGACTTAGATGGAATGACAGGACAATAAATGTCTCCCCTAAAATGCAAACAGACCCAACAATAATACGATAATAATATCACTTGCTGAAATGTTATTACCAGTTTGGGTTTACTTTGACAGACTGTCATGTGATGTTGCCATGCTTTAAAAGAAGCAATTAATCACTGTTATCATCACTTCATATGGCTCTGTAACATCTCTTTAATTTGCTTGTTTTGATTTTGTGTTGTGATTCAGAAATTGGAGAGCTGTGACTTTATTTGTTGTAGGTGACAGTTATAATTACACAAGCCTGTTTCCTAAATGAATATTTTGCCTAATAAATCAAACAGGCTGGACCTCTGCAGCCTTTGATTAAAGGACTTGAGAGATACTAGTAATACTTTCTAGATACTTTAATAGAGGAGCTTATGGAAATAAAAGGCGTTAGACACTTTCAGTCCAGAGCTTTTTTACAAGTTTGAAATTAGAAATAAATACAAATACACTTCTGTCATGATAGAAAAATAAATGTGGTTCTGCTACAGGTGTTTCACATGATTTCACATATAAGGAATCTGTCTTGGTATATTATAGGTGCATAATAATAGTATGAGAAAAATATAAATGAAGATGAAATAAAGACAATAAAAAGAGAAAGAATATCTACAAATACAAGACTATAAGTATGTTTTTTAAAATAAAGAATTGCTAGTGCAGGAATGTGCAAAATATTGTTCAGGGAATGTGCAAGTTCACAGTATGAAGTATGATTTGCAGTGTGCGAGATGTAGCCCAAGAGATGTGCATTAATGTAATGCATAGATTCAGGGTGACTAGATATAAGAGTCAGTGCCATTTAATCTCGCAAGAATATAATAATTTCCTGCTTTTTTACCTTTAAAATCATACTTTTTAAATTGTATCATCTTGTATTAGTGGTGAATGAATACAAATAAGCATGCTGTGATGCACTGACCAATAGAACAGGCATTGGGAGCAAAATGAAAAACAAAATTCCACCATCCTCCACCATATTCAGTTCAAATATCAAAAATTGTGATTAATTGCTATCTGGGAAAACTCATGCATTCATATTTAAGTTATTCAGTCATTATTTGACTGTGACTGTGATGTGGAAATATTGCACAGTCACATTACCATAAGAAACAATGTATACAGTATCTTTCATATTGTAAATCTCTATTTTGTTTTCTTCAATAAAACATATTTCTTTTCTTTAAGAACATGCACAGTATGTGGGATGCAGGTATATTTCTCATAGATATTAGTTCATACGTCAACTGCTGGATGTCTCTATATACTGTACATGTAGTATTATTGTATGTGATGGACTACTTCACTGGAAGACAACCATTTTTGGCAGTTCCACATTCATGGCTTAAGCAACACTCTCACATACAGAAGTTCCCAGGAGTGTGACCACTGCAAAGCCACAACAGCATCACATCACATACAATATACTGCATCAACCCTGCTAGCGCCTGCACTGACAGCAGTTTCTGAAACACCTTAACAACAACATCAGTGCTGTCTGAAATGTCTCTAATCTTCACGTCACTGAAAGATTACATGCTCCTCTTACAGATGGGAATAAATCTCCCAACTTGTTGGCTGGCTGTAACACTTTGGAAGTGGTCCTGACACTGGAGATACAAGGTTCCCTCCAGTGAGACCACGTTTCATAATTTCAAACATCCCCTCTTTACACATGACCTCTGTTACTGAGGATAAATGCCATTTCTGCTGTATCACCTGCAGTAAAATCTCTGAAGTTAGACAAGACATCATGCTCCTGCTTACTACAGCAGCAGAGAGGGAAAGCATCACTGCAACAGGGGTGCACTTGTACTTTACTCAATGCCAATAAAAAACGCCAAATCATTAGTAAAGGGCTGTGTGAGTGGGAAATGAGATAAACTATCATGCCTTGTCACTTTACTCTCTCTCACACACACACAGAGACAGTGGTTCAAAGAAGTCCTCTGCTACGCGCTTTCTGGTACGAGATGATAAAACACCTGATAGGATCAATGAGCACACATCTTTTTGATCAACTGAAAACAAAGAGCTGAGATTAGTCAGTCACACTCTGTATGTCAGTGTAGCGTGGTACGCCTTCGCTTTTATGTGCGTGCCCCCGACCCCTCAGCAGTGCTCAGGAGCCCCTGCAGGGCCCTCGGTACTCACCCAGAAATACATCATCATCTCGGCTGAGAGGGGATGGGAGACCAGGGGGTGGAAGACGGGGGTAGGCAAGGACACCAGACAGGCCAGCGCTCTTCCTCTTTCTCTTTGTTGGTGTGTTTTTCAGTACGTCTGTCCTGTTCTGCACTGATCTTCTTCTTCAGTCACTTGACTTTCTCTCGGGGAAGTTTTTTTTGCTGCCAGCGCTGTCTCAGTGTTATCTGACGGCCAACTAATTGCCCCTGTGTTTGTAGTTTTGTAGCTGCAGCTAGAGTTATAAAAGTCTCTTTTATGTGTCCCTTTGCCCCTGAAGACAGTCGGTCCTGCTCTCCCGCTGACTCCTATGAAGTATGACTTTGTCTCTAAGAGTCGCCACAAAAGCTCTCACGCTGCTTCTCCTCCCCCTGCACCTTTCAAAAAACTCTTCCTCTGCTTCTTCGCCAAAGGGGGGAAAGAGAGAGGAAGAGTGAAGAGAGAGGCAACAAGGAGAGAAAGTGCTAAGAGGCGTTGTTACTGTACCTCCCCTCGCTTTTTGTTCTTTACTTCACTTCTTCTCCTGCTTCTTCTTCCTCCTCTTATCCAATGTGGCACCCTTTCCTGCCCGCTCAGCTCTTCCTGCCTCCTCTTTTTTCCTCTTTTCTTTGCTCGCTGCAAACTATCCTGCTCTCTGTTTCACTGACACACACTGAAGCCTGTCTCCTCTTAGTCAGAGCGCACTCTCTTCCCTTTGCTTTTCTTCGTCTCTTGTTCCGGATAGCTCCAGTCCAGCAGCTCTGTTTTGAGGGGAGGCAAGTCTGAGACGTACTCTCTTCTACAGTGTTCCTGGGTGAAGAGCGCTGGAGAGGCTGGGGGGTGGGAAAAAAGCTGGAGATCACCACAAGGTACAGTAGCACAGCAGCTTTCAACCGGGGGAGAGACAAGTGCAGAGGGGAAGGAGTGAAGGGGATTGGGGGGGAGGGGGGGGCAGAGAAAGGGGAGAGAGAGAGAGAGAGAGAGAGAGAGGAGAGAGGGAGGGAGAAGGGAGGGAGAGATGAGCTGGTGGAAGGGATGCCGGTGTTGCAGATACACACGCTGGGAAGTGGGAGATGGCGACAGGCTGCGTAGAAGTTGTGGGGAAAGCCGACGGAGGAAGCCGGAGCGAGGGAGGCAAGACAAAATGAGAGAGGGAGGAAAAGAGATGCACAAAGCTGGGAGAAAGGAGAGAAAGAGGGAGCAGCTTGGCTTGTTGTTGCTTATGCTAAAGAGCCAACGATACCAGCCGGTTTCATTAAGTTGCACTGGGAGCGACGGGGAGGAGGAGGAGGAGGAGGAGGTTTGGAGGTTTGGTGGTGGTGTGTGTGTGGGGGGGGTGTAGAAGCAAGAGAGCCGTCAAAACAAAATACAATTTAGAGCACTTGTGTAACCCAAGAAGAGAGAGAGGGAGAGAAGTGAAAGAGATGAAAAACAGCTAAAGTGGAGCGGCTGCCTCTCTTCTTGTTGTTCTTTTGTTCCCTCCGTTTTTTCCTTCTCTGCAGAGGGAGGGAGGGGTGGTGTGTGCTTGTGTTAATGTGTAAGTGTGTACGGATGTGTGTGTGTGTGTGTATTGGCTGGTTGGCCAAGCAGGTCTGGCCCACAGTAGTGCAGAGGGAATATTGAAGGCTGCCATGCTCAAGCTGTGCGCACATATGCGTGTGTGTGTGTGTGTGTGTGTGTGTGTTTTGCACGTTTAACTCTGAAAAACTTGTCTGCAAATGACTTGTATGTCACACACACACCAGCACTGGCCACAACTGGACAACTTTGCATCAGCATACACAGGGTATGTATGTTAGTGTGTGCCCAATTAAAGGGTGTGTATGCAATGTGGCTGGACGAGAGACAGGCAGGAGAGGGGGGGGGGAGAGAGAGAGAGAGAGAGAGAGAGAGAGAGAGGTGGGTTGTAGGTTGAGGGTTGATGTTGCAGCCTGCCTCAGCACATTTAACCCCCCCTCCACCCCCCCTCACCCAACAGTCAATACACCACTGAGGCAAGCTGCCACGTTAACCCCTTCCTTCACTGCCTGAAATACCGCACTGCACACATTGGGAGCACTGGAAACACTGGACCACTCCAGTGTTGCTCTATTTCTGTGCGTCAGTGTCACACTGCAACTGAAGACAGAAATATAAAAAAATATCCATCTTCTCAGGAAATCATAAATACTGTAGCTCCTCAAGAGCCAAATCTAATCTATTCATACTGGCAGCATAAGAAAGTAACAGCATTAAAATTGACTTTTAAAATGAAATATGATTCAAGTTTCTCTCTTATGCCAGGTTAAAAACATAACTTTGTCCAGATAAAAACAGTTGGCTGTTGGCATAAAGACACATTTCTGTATGGTAAAAACCAAGGCTGGTTGTCAGTTCCAATTCCAGCAGCTGAGTGCTGATAACTTATCTCATAATTATTGTCCAGTGTTGGGCAGCAACGCATTACTAATAATATTATTACAATAGTGTAACTCTGTAATAATATTACCCCCCAAATAACAACTGAGTGAATGTGTGTGAAAGGGTGAATGTGGCAAGTAGTGTAAAAGCGATTTGAGTGGTCGGAAGACTAGCAAGGCCATATACAAGAACAGGTCCATTTACTATTTACCACCAAGTAGGAAACAAGCTTGGAAGATTGAAACGCTTACATTCAGCAGCTGGAAATATTCCCATTACTTTGATTTTAACAAACAAAACTGGATTTTAACTGTGGACAGCAGACAAAGAACTAATGAAGCTTGTGGCTTCATTAGAGTGGATGTGTGCTGGATGATCCTTAGGAAAATATTGGTGACAGGCAACAGAAGACGTGCTGTTTCCAAATAACTGAAGTTGTCTCGTCATCAGTTTGAGCCAGATGTGCTTCTATCTATCCTGTGACTTTTATGGATTCATATGCTGCTGAAAAAACTGATGGTTTGAAGCCTAAACTGTGATTACCGGGCGAGTTCCCTGACATTCACACAGAGGCGCACATGCAAAGTCTGAATTTTGGGGTTAAAGGAACTAATTACTGTTGGCAGGGAGTAATAAGTAAAGTTATAATATCACTTTTGAAAAGAGTAACTAGCAAGAAGTTTGAAATTAAATTTTTTGAGTAAGAAGGCCAATAATGTTAATGTCATCAACATAAAGAGGAAGTCTTGCTTTCTTTCCTACTTTTCTGTCAATAAATCCTATTTGCAGAGCTACACCAACAGTGTTTATATCCAATTAATGAGTATTGTGTGTATTTCCAAAAGCTGTGCAAGCTGCTTATTACAACCTATATGCACAATTTTTGTTAGGCAGCAATCTCTAGTGAAAGTCAGGTGACATGGTATAAAGAGCGACACTACAGGTATGGCTGAAGTTGAAGGTGAGTAATTTGGACTGTCTCGCTCCTTATATTGCGTCACCTGAGGTGTGTCCCACAATATCGCTACAGGGATACCTACAGTGTTCTATTTTAAAGTGAAGGGCAGCAGTATTTGGCGACTTCTGAGTGAAATTGTGTTGGGTGGGCATATGTATGTGTTAAGCTTACTAACTGATAAACAAGCAACCACTACTTATGGATGTCCATGCCAGTGGGTGTGTGCTTGTACCGCAGCACTTTATTGCCAATATCCTGCAAACCCTGAGGACACGCTGTCCACTAAGGACAGGGGGAGAGGGGAGGAGGGGGGGGTAAGGTGAGGTTGTGTTTTGAACTTCAATATAATGCTCAGTAAATGTTAACTTCTAAAATTTCCCACAAGTAAACCATCATAAAAGGTTGAGTAAACAATATTTAGTAATTAATAAGGAATGTTAATTGTGCTTAGATGCATTTACTTCGAACTACAGCCCTGCGGAGGACGTTAGGTGGATGGATGGGTCAAACTCACCCTGAAGACCGCTGTTGCTGCCCCCTGTGTAACCAAAAGTCAGTGTTGACCTATTTTGATTCATGTACGTTAACTTATTTTAACCCAACTTATGATCTTTTTCTACACCTAATCAATTAGTTTTGATGCCTAAACCCAGCCAAACTGCAACAACATTAACCATGTGACGACAGTGAAGTTCCAGTACCTCTGATGCTGGTACTCTCCAGCGGTCATATATGGGGTTTTGGTAGTCATTAGCAATCAACCTATTCAGTGGTTTAGGTATAAGGAGGTGTTGCTTATTCCTCTGTGCTACAGAGCTCCTTATGTTCCAAAGACTATTAAAAACACATCAATGAGCCAAACTGTTGCACTGGGTGACATTTATTATCATCAACTCACACACAGTAGTTTATTTAGACTTTATCCCACATACACCATCCTGCTGCCCCGAATACTCTCTAGAGATATGGTTCCTATTTCCTGGGCCGGACTGGTACCATGCCTCGGAACATTAGGCTGCAAACAATGCGATGTGGCAAAGAAAACTGAATAATAACCATATAACCTATAGGGCATGATAGGCCACTTTCATGGCTTGATTCTTAAGAATAAGGAAAAGTAAAAATGCACACAGCAATTACAGTCCTTGCCCCTCCACAGCAAATGAAAGACAGTGGCATGGAGAGTCAGAAATGATATTCTATACATGTGCGAGGGTGGATTATGAAGTCTACATCGCTGATTCTAAGAGATGATTTATGCACATTAGCTCTTTTTTAACTCTTCCACTTCAAATGTAGAAGAACTTATTTTAAGATCTGCATTGGGGGAATACATTCGATATTAAAGTTGCATCAAACACTCTCAGTGTGGTGAGGTTCTTTTTTAGTTCAATCCAGTTTTTTGGAAGGTTATGTGTATCGTTTCATCATTAATAAAACATTAGCACATTAATTTTAAAACATTGGTATAATTATTCTAAACAAACAAGACCATCGCCTCGACGGCGCATACATTTTTACATTGCATGCTAACTGAGCTGGATTTAAAGAGGAAGTAACTGAATGAGGCACAAAAGCTGCTGTACAACACAAACCAACGTGAGGACAGTCCCGTCCCTGCACCCTTTTTATCATAGGAAGGAGTGCAATCTATGGAAAATGTCTCAAGTTTGACATATCGACACTTACCAATGTAAAAAAATAATGAGCTTATTCATAGTTAAAACAGATTATGAATACCTATTCATCTGCACCCATTTGTGCTGAAATTGGTTTTTAAGACTTGCTTGAAATGAGTCCATTTACATACATGTATGCATGCATGGTGTGCAGCCTCAGCTGTCACTCTCCCTCACTCCTCCCTCTGAGACGGCAGAGAGCTCACAGACGGGCGGGCTTCTCTCTTTTTTTCCCCTAGCAACCACCATTCAAAAGAGAACATTTTCCTATCAAATCTGGGCGTCATGCTATTTCAGGTCTGGGTCATGAATAAGTTAGTCCAGACTCTGCATGTGAGTGAGCTAATGCAAAAAGACGACAGGCTGGTGGGAGACTGGGTGGGTGTATACGAGGAGAGGAGCAACATCAGGTCAGACAACAGGGATGTGGAGTATGAACAAATATACAGAATGAATGCTGTCTTGATCTTTTTGGTGAAGTGTCTCCATGATGTGTGCATTCCATCATACTCTGTGTGCTCAAGGTTACCCCGACTTCAGGTGACCCGAAAGTCTTTCCTAATTAATAGCTCATAACTCATCTATAAAGCATTAGTAAGTGATTCATTAACCATTAATGAAGCTGTTAGTTACAACTTATCAACATTTTATAAAGAGTGTCTTCTGAGTGCCAAAAAATGTCTTTGCTCAAAAAGAGGACAATCCATGCGCTGAGGATTTACTTCTGTATTTAACATGTTGAACTCTCTGTTGGAACCTCTGATCGGAGTGCCCAATACCCAAAAATACACTGGTCCAGATTTACCAAGAAATTTACAAAGAAAACTATGCAGTACATTTGTTTA